ATCCACTCACCTCAGCCTCCCAAAGGCGCGGGATTACAGGCTGAGCCACCGAGCCCTGTTCTATTTTTTACTTTTTAAAGACAGGGTCTTGCTCTGTTGCCCAGGCTGGACTACAATGGTGTATTCATAGCTCACTGCAGCCTAGAACTCCTGGGCTCACATGATACTCCTGCCTCAGCCTCCCAAGTAACTGGAACTCCAGATGTGTGCCACCATGCCTGGCTAAATTTTTTATTTTTACTTTTTGTACAGACGAGGTCTTGCTGTGTTGCCCAGGCTGGTCTTGAACTCCTGGCCTCCAGTGATCCTCCCACCTCGACCTCCCAATGTGCTGGGATTATAGGCGTGAGCCACCATGCCCAACCTATGTTCAGTTCTGATTTGTGCTTGGGCTCAGGTTTGGGAAAAGTAGAAACCAAGACTCTCAAACACAAGTGAGTGACTTTCTGTCCTGGGGGAAAAGGAAGAGCTGGTGATTTCAAAGCCTTTATTGACAATGAACTTATGCTGGAAGATACTTTTGCTCTAGGCTGCCTTCATCTGTTGTGTGCTGTAGCAACAACTGGAATGGATCCAATCAGAATCTATTTTTTATTCTAACCTATATCACCTTGGAGTTTAAATTTAGAATTGTGCCAAGAAAGCTTCAAGCACTCATCTTTGTAGCTACTCCATATGACTTATGTGGGATTTCATTTTCAGACACACTACTGTACTTTTTACATATGTCTTTAAGCCTTTTATTGTGGAGTATTGGAGCTTATAAGCTATGATGGCAAACATGCACATATGGGCAGAGGATAACCAGTTAATTATTTAGCCAGTTTATTTTATTTTTTTGAGTCGGAGTCTCACCCTGTTGCCCAGCCTAGAGTGCAGTGGCACGCTCATGGTCACCACAGCCTCAACCTGATGGGCTCAGGTGATCCTTCTGCCTCAACCTTCCAAGTAGCTGGAACTACAGGTGTCCCCAGCTAATGTTTTTGATTCATTGTAGAGATGATGTCTTGCCAAGTTGCCCAGGCTGGTCTCAAACCCGTGGGCTCAGGCAATCCTTTCACCTCGGCTTCCCAAAGTGCTGGGATTATAGGCATGAGCCACACGCGCCTAACCAGCCAGCTTATTTTAAAGATAAAAATAATCTTATCTAATTCTAAATCTTAGAAGATCAAGCTGATTTTTAACCTTATTAATTTCACATTGTTGGGCTATCCCCTCAGCTTCCCTCCTGCTCTGGGAACTTTTCTGTCCTCTCAATAAATCCTGCTTTAAAAAAAAATTCACATTGTTAAAAGGCGGTAATGCTCAGCATAAACGTGTGGTTGATTTCACCAAAATTCTGGTTCATGAACACACTTTGTTTGGTTTTGTTTTGTTTTTTAATTTAAAGGGCAACCTGTCTATAATTAAGTTTTTAAAAAAATATCAGAATTCAATAGTCTTATAAGAGGGCTTCGAGTTCATCTGGTCTGGCCCTCCCTGGCACCTGGGTCTCTATGCCAGCTCTCCCTGACCCTCCCTGGCACCTGGGTCTCTATGCCAGCTCCTCCCTGCTCCCCAAGACTCTCACTTGTCTTTGAGAGTCTCAGTTCCTACTGTCCCCAGACCTGAGCCCAAGCAGAAATCAGAACTGAACCTGGGCTGGGTGTGGTGGCTCACACTTGTAATCTCAGCATTTGGGGAAAGGCGAAGGTGGGAGGGTCACTTGAGGCCAGGAGCATGTGCTTCCGGTAACTGCCTGCTTCCCAAGGCAGGCTACTGCTTTGCTGACCAGCTCCAGATAGAAAGTTGTTTATTGTTTGAAGCTGAATTTTGCCTCCCTGTCATTTCTACCTGGTGGGCCTAGTTCTAGACTCGGGAGAAATGACTGGATAAACCCATTTCCTCTTAAACGTCATACACTGTCAAGTATTTGAAGGCAACTATCACAACTCTCCTTGTCTTTTCTTCTCCAGGTATGGCAGCTCTCAATTCTCCTAGCTTTTTTCATATTCCCTAGTTCTTAAACTTCTTCTGTTATCTGTAACTGTGCCTTTAATCATGATACCATCCAAAGTAGGGCGGGCTAATCTATTCATCTGATCCCAGCTTGAATACCCTTTTGTGCATGAACACTTAACTGTCTACAGTGCCTCTCTGAAGCACTAAAGTGAGCGTTTATGTACTTTTGGCTTCTTTTGACCTTCCTTGGTGTTTCTGTGTTCTCTCTCTCTCTCTATCTTCTCTTTGGAATGGCAGAGTCCCACTGGTTGATTAAATGTCATATCCTGAAAATGACTGAACCTGTGGTTGGCACTAAGCATTAAGTCAAATTGTTACTCTCTACAGCTGGGTTTATGTCATAGCAAATTCCCTTGGCTAGGAAGCTGCCTAAAACTTGCCAGGTTTAGGGTCCTGAGCTTTGATTCTGCCCATAGATCAGTCATTAGACATGATGGATTTGGTAAGATAGTGCTTACACTAAGGGAATGTCTGCTCAGCAAAGGACCATGTCCTCAGCATGGGTCTCGGGGGGCCCGAAATAGTGGGATTCTCTTGGATATGTATGAACAGCTGTTTCCTTAATGTCATGAGAATTTCAAGTAATTAACAAAATGAATCAAACATGAGGAAGGTATATTTTTTGAAAAGTAATATTAGTAACTTACAAGCCTTCGAAATGGACATGGTGGAATGAAATGCAATTCTAGTGAATGTTTTAAAAGAACACAAAAACCCTAGGGCATTTTTTTTCTTGACTTTTTTTTTTTACTATTCAGATGTCCATTGCTCATGTAGGTGGGAAGGGGTGGATGGAGGAAGAATTTTTACTTGGAGAGAATGTTTTGAGAGCCAATTACATGTGCTAGACACACTACTTGGATGCAAGCACTCAAAAAACGAATTTGAAATGGGGCACTTGGCTTCATAAAAAGCAGACCCTGCTATTATAGAGCCAGGGGCTGTGGCAGAGATATAGACAAGGGACAATGGGACACAAAGAGAGTCTCCCCAGAGCAAATGACACATGAGCAGAAGGCTGAGTGGGGAGTTTACTCTGTAGTCAAGGCGTTGCTGAGTGTGATGAGGTCTCAAATAAAGGAATGTGAGAGGGCAGATTATCTGAGGGTATTTGATTCTAGATAAGAACTCAGTAAAGGTGGCATTTCAAATCACCAAAGAAAGGCTTCTTCAGGCATGTGATTCAGAAAAAAGATCAAAAGAAAGAACATCCATGTATCAAGAATAAGAAAAAAAGAAAGAGAAAGGAGATTTAAGAAATAGCATTCAAATGAAAACCTAATTTGAAAGAAAATATAATGTAAACAGAAGAAAATTTCTTCACAAGGCATAATAAGAACTACCTTCCTTCTCCACTTCCGTTGCGATTTGTGGAATGACCAATATATTCCACTGTGGCTCTTCCTGCTGTCGCTGCTGAGATCCAATATGGGAGCTGCAGCCTCCTGTGGTCTTCCCCAGAGGTCCCTGGAGGCCTGCACACACCCTTGTTTGTCATCTCACTAACTGGCTTCCCTTCTGGAGGTGGTTCCTGAGACTGGGAGCCACATGAGGCTAACGTAGAATCTTCCATTTCTTTCCTTGGCCTCTTCTCTCTGAAGTTTGTGGCAGAAGATTATATCCCCTTAGCTGGTTGTTTATTGGTGGCAAGGTTTTTTGCCATTTTCGGTTATTTGGGGCACACAGTTTCCAACGGTTGCTATTTGAGCTTAATTTACTTAAGGCACCAGTCTTTCAATATATCACCTTTAAAATGTCAACACTGCTTTGACTCTGATACAATTGACTAAGAAATTTTTTATGCATTGCTTCACGGATCTCATCTTTAGTATCTTCTATAAGATGAAAGTATTGGTTCGGATAAGCCTGGCCCTTTTGCAGCTCTGTGTTGATTATTACGAGTTGTTTTAGGTTTTTCTCCATCAGCATCAATTTACTAATTATTCACCTAGCAAAGACTCACACGGCTAAGACTTGGAATAAACATGTCTTCTTGGACAGAAGTAGACATGGAATCGAGAGAGAGAAAGCTTGGTCACGATATGCAAAGTAGCCCCAGGGAAGACTGGATCTACAGAAAAGACCTCACTCACAGTGATGGCCAGGCATGAAGTACAATCTACAAGGAACCAGAGGCCACGTTTTCATGTTCCAGAACTGTGCTTGGGGTGGACCTTGAGATAAAATTGACAAAAATTGATTCCTGGGTACATGGAGTACATGCACTAAGATATTTATTATCATTATTACATTATTATAGTCATATCAACTAATCTTATACATTATTTATGTTTACAAAAGTACAAATTTAATAAAACTATTTTTTTAAAGTTCAATGAACGAAGACTCAACATATAAAGAAGGACAGGACCAGGCATGGTGGTTCAAGCCTGTAATCCTAGCACTTTGGGAGGTCGAGGTGAGAGGATTGCCTGAGCCCAGAGGTTCAAGACCAGCCAGGGCAACTTGGTGAGACCTCATCTCTACAATAAATCAAAATAATAATAATAATAATAGTAAAATAATTAGCCAGGCATGGTAGCGCACACC